TGATATCAAAGGTGGTCGTGTGAGGTGAAACATAAGTGAACCGTGACGCGCACAACAATTGTAGGTGAATGATGCAACAAAACAAAGTGCCTTGGATTTCAAAACCATTCCTGATCTCTAGGTGTAAACCTGTATTCTTTTGTTGAAATCGAAATAAAATTTTACTGGAAAAATCTTGAACACACTTAGACCTGCTTATCCCCTAATGAGCACTCCAATTTGTCGTCATGTGATATCCAAACCAGACATCTGAGTAAGGGAGCTGAGAGTACGACAGAGCTCTGCCACATAACTTGTGTGATCAAAGTTCTAATTCGAAACTGAGGATATAGTATCGTGTTTTACATGAACGCCACGAGATTTATTTCGAAAACGGAAAAGCTTCCTTTCTATCGAAAGAAAGCAATATTGTTCTCCGGACTGGTTAGACGTTTATATCTCTTACGGAATTGTACCACCTTAGGAAAAGGTTTGGACGGCGGAACTAAGCGAGACCAAGAAGAAATTCAAACACGAGAGTGTGCATGAATAACGCCGAGGGAAGTTCATTTGTATAAACACTTATGTGAAGTATAATGTCGTAAAACCCCGGGCGACTGATTGGCTCACGTATTGAACTACATAATCCATTACGTGCTGTCTCGCTCCTAGCAGTTCTTATATATCTGGCCAATGGTGAAAAATACTTTGAAATTACTCAAACCAAAAGTTGATCTCTAGCGTGTACAAAATGCTATCACACTTGTCGCCACCACTATGGAAATTTCGCTTTTATCTTATTACCTACGGAAGTTGAAATGTTCGGTCTCTTACTGCAACTCCGATAAAAAATGAACAAGCGCGGCTGAATCACTGGTTATAAATTCCCTCGGGCTCCTGGACTGAGAACACAGACATCGGGCATCATTGGCAAAATCCACGAGGTTATTGCGCGGATCCGCATCAACCAGCGAAACCCAAATGGGCTCTGCGATGGCACAGTAGAGGCTTATGTATTATCTGATCTTAAAAAAATCTTGTTGGAACCCAAGTGACTGGGAAATTTTTTGAAAAATACACCAATCGGATACCAACCATTGCATCTTAAACCTGACCTCTGGTTAAAGTGAAATGCATTAGGTATCTCCATTCAAGCTGCAAATTCTGTCGTTTCATACCAGGCTTCCAAATATCTGTCATAACTCAGCAACAACCAATCTGGTTTAACCATGGATTACAGTTGAATAACTTACACAGCTCTACCTATTCAAGCAATGCTTCATAGCCACGTTGTGATTGATTTTCTATCCACCGTACCCAGCCGAATACCGAATATTACTAAGACGTCCACAATGCCAACTTGCTTCATTTCTAGAAGCCTGAAATCTTGCCTTACGATTTCCACCGGTATAGTTTTTATCCGGATTTCACGTTGGTGAATGGGCCAATTGCATGTTCGGTGGGACTGAATTACTGTGGAAAATGAACAAAAGGAGTGCAATTTTTCTCTGACTCGTCCTCATAACACAAGCCTATTAACCTGCATCCACGGCGTGATTCTGCGGAGACGTTCCATGTATTTGGAGAATATTTAGTTCAGCCAGGCGGACCAAAAATCAACAGGAAACATTTGACAAATTATGGACTACAATTGCAAATGACGGCGCGCCTAGTCGACACTTGTGTGTTCTGTCTCGAGACGTTCATCCAAATTCTACGTGCACCTCAGTTGTCGGTTAGTCATCTTGTTACCAAGGCATGGCTTGGTCCGTTCCACCTCTTTTCTCACATCCATGTGGTCATACGAGGAAGATCCTATGAGGGGATTGGTCTAGTGGCACAGAATACGTAACGAAGGTCGTGTAAACTGTCGAGTGTGCTCAGCTCACTTATTGTAGGTGAGTTATTTCTTCAAAAAAGTATGCAAAATAACTTCAATGTTATTGATCCAATGAAGTCACCGGATGGTGACTAAACCACAAAAGTATCCACGACCAAGCAATTAGAGATTTTAACTTCCTTTGCTCGCAGTGGCCAGGTTTCTAGCATACGTGAAAATTTAATGGACATCTCTGAATTTTTAATTCTGGCAGTGATACAGAAACTGCCGAGATTCGTAAGCCACGGCTGCCCTGAGCTTACCGACCCCCATTGTCAGTCAGACCACCTGAACTGACAAGGCTCGTAAGGTGCATTAGATTGTCTACCTCCTCAATGAACTCATCCGCAAGAATGAGATTCGGGTTTGATCCAAACCAGTTTCATTACCAGCTTCGCTTCGCAGACTACACCCTTTGAGTTTTGTCACATTATCGAGCGTCATTACCTTTCATTATTCCTGACGCTCTAGGGGGGAGTACTGTAGTGTCTGTAATCTGTCGTCACATTTACCATTTTTCCTGAACTTAAACTACACTTTGTAACTGTCGTACATATTGTATCATGACGTTTGTTTTAATGTTACGAATACACATTTTTCCGGTGCGACCTGTTGTCTTTGTGCTGAACGAGTGTATTTGCGCTCCGTTGGACTGTTTGCTGACCGCTGAACCAGTGGGACTAGTACTCTGTATTTGTGTCAACTGTTGAACGCCACACTAAATCCCCGTGACATTTTTTTAGCTGTGAATAACTTTCCTATCTTGGAAATATACCACTCACACGTGAATCATCCGTGGGAACTTCCGACCAGTGAATATTTCTTCCACAGCCGGTTACTGCATTTGGATCGGTGTAGTGGACTGTTGGATCTGCACATTCGTGAGTCCTTATTTGTCTACTCTTACTTTTCTTATTGTGATTTGTCATTTTGTATTGGGTACATTACTTGTTAATTTGGTCGAACACGCTGATATGGTCCTAGTCCGCCACACATACACCTTCAAACACTCATTCAGGCAATATGGACAGAAACTGACAACAAGAACACTACTGACATCAGTTGGCAGCTATACTCTCTAGTGTATCCAACCAGACGCAGTGGGGATCACGCGGTCCCCATCATGGAGACGGGTAGCACCGACAGCACCCACGCCTTTAGTGATCTCGTTCAAACTCCTCTGCCAAGTCGAAATTTGGTGACGTCTGCTTACGCCACCCTGAATTGGGCGCGGAAAAAGGCACTCTAATTGACAAACGATTGTCGGGC